CTTTTCTCGTTCTTCTTGTTTCTTTCTTTTTTCTCCAACAACTGCTTTAATCTCACTTGTTTATTTTGTTGTTCGAGCTGCCACTATTGCAGGTTTTCTTGCAACTGTTTATATTGCTTTAGTTGATTTACTTAGTTAAAGAATATTTGGACTTAACCTAACTACTACCAAACTAAAATGGAATTGCTTTAAAACTAGTTTTATTACAGGTTTTTATTTCTAATAAGATTCAAAATTACTTTCTAAAACATGAGCAAGTTAAAATTTTCCTTTATCAAATGTTTTTAGTATTCCAAAATAGCAATACATACAGAATACAGTGTATATTTATTAATATTTATTTAAATATGATATTTCAGTAGTAGAATATTATCAACTTATCACGTGCTTTATATTTTGCAATAACTTAGAAAGTCGATTAACAAAGACAGTTGATTTATTAATAAAAACAGTTTGTTAAAGCCAAAAGACGAATATTTGAGCTAAAATTAGCAGGTAAAATAAATAAATATTCTTAAAATAAAACATTGGCAAATAATGGGTTAATATGTTCGTTGAGCTCTGGTATTGAGCGAATGGACTTTTCGGTAGCGACACACAAGTAATGATTGAAATACTACGCTTGTTACTTGAAATCCGCAATGGATAAACATAGAATAATGTGGTTTAAGTCATTAATATTCTTATTGTGGTGTAATAGCACACAAAGTACCAACTTTTAACTGTTCTTCTTGGAATCATTAAAATCATAACAAGTAAAACAGCAACCGTTTGTCAATTCAGTTTCAACCAACCCTTTAAGAGCTTTGTAATTATAAGAAATTATGAGCGAAAATGAAGAAAAATGTAATAATATGTCAAACACACTATATCTGCTAAATCCAGTGCCGAAGAGGCCTTTCACCCAATACTAGGCCTCATCAGGCCGAATTTGATACGGCAGACATAGTAGTGGTCGAGACACCATTTATATCATCATTTACTCGAATAACAACTGTTTCGATATGAAACTGGTGAACTGCTAATTTTTATTAATCTTACTTAATTCATTATAAACCAGAATTAGGTTTATGGCTTTTCTTAGCTCAAAATGGTTTCTTTTTTAACACCAAATCATATATTATTATTTGTTTTGCTTGAGTTATACTAAGAAGATCTTACAAACCAGTAAGCTAGTATTTTTGACCTCGGAGTGGGTCAAGTGACCACAGCGTCATCGGAAGAAGGCTACATTAATAATCATAAGAAAATCTGGATGAAACTAAAAAAGAAAGTAAGAATATGTAAACCATAACGATCTTAAAACAATGTTGGTGTTGGAAAACATTTTATAAAACCATATAACAACATGGGTTCTATTTCGAATTTCACATTTAATAATTTGTACAAACAATCGCACATGTTTATTGAAAGTAATAAAACCCGTTATGTTATTTCTAAGAAGCACACACTGCTTACTGCTTTATTTTCAGGGATCAGCAATTCGGTTATTATACTTATTATTCGTGTGCTAGTTTCAGTATCGTGTGAAACTTGATACTGAGCATGATATCAATGTCTTCAGACTCAGGCCTATCACTTAAAGTGCACTGGTCACTATATAGAATTACATGTAATATGAAAGAAAATAAGAAGTAAAAACGCGTTTGAATAGAAGCGTTTCACTGTGAGAGCGGTATAACATTTTCTTTGGGTATAAAGATTTGTCACTTTATAATTACATATAAAATATCCATGTGAGCTGAAATACATTACAAATTTTCATGAAATTTATAAGTAAAACAAAACATGTTGTAAGTCACAGTTGTCATCAACATTCGGCACGAATGAAACCCTGGACTTATACTGGCTTTAGTTAAAACCTAACTTACAGGACAAGTTAGGACTTTTCTTGTTACTCTCGTGTCTCATATTCTTCCGAAACGTTCTGCTGGTTATATTTTTAGTTTGTTTTTTATCGTGTTTATGTATTGCATTGTTTTTATTGGTTAGGGGGTCTAATATTCTCAACCTTGCTCTTTCATGAAATTCGCGAAGCAAAATTCTAACGCGAAAAACAATTCTGTCACGTAAATTATTATTTCTAAAAATCAATATACCACAGCATTTATTACATTGGAAATCAATAATATTTTCCCATTAACTTATTTTGTGACACGTCCTAGTTTCGGTTTTGTTACAGGTTTGTCAGAAGCAACTTAAAACAAATTTAACAGATTCAAGTCATCGTCGTGTAAAGAAAAATAAAATAAAATAATGATGGAAGGAACTATTGACAGCCACATGGAAAGAAGAACAGGTTCACGCTTACAACTGTTTGTAACAGACTCTCTTACTAGTAGTGGCTTGTAAGCTAAAGCTACGTTCTGTAATCATGAACTTAAAAACAACTACTGTTTAAACGAACTTGAGGGTATTTTTTGTTGTTGTTGTTGTTGAATTTTGCGAAAAGCTACTCAAAGGCTATATGTGCTAGCCATTCATAATTTAGAAGGGATAGATTAAAATTGAAGGAACCTAGTCAACATCACCCACCGCCAACTTTTGGGCTACTCTTTTACTAACGAATATTGGGATTGACTGTCACATAATAACGCTTCCACGGATGAAAGGGCAGGCATGTTCGATTAGAGGATTCGAACCTGCAACACATAGATTGCGAGTCGGGTGCCCAAACTTGAGGAAAAGAAAATACTCACACGAATACACACATAGAAATATATTTAGGTAAGCTAAGTTTAAATTAGTCCCAATACCAAAACAACATAGTTCTGGTCGGGATTTTAAATATTTAGAGAAGCAATTAAACCCAAATATATTGTTGTTGATTACCCATGTTTTCTACAGTAAGGTCAAACTATCCCTGTTTCAAATAGTTAATTGTTGTATTCACTTTTGTGAATAATTCGCTTTATTGTTATGAATGAAATGTCTGCCGAAAGTTTATTTGTTTGCTTTGAATTTCGCGCAAAGCTA